GGCAGGCAGGCACCGCGCGGTCCGGGAGCCGCGCCCCGCGCCTCTTGCGCCCCGAGCCTCTTGCGCCCCAGCTGCTGCGCTGGCACCTGCAGAACTGCGGAGGTTCCCGCGGCTCAGGACGCTGGGAGCCGGTCCACTCTTTGTTGGTGGGGAAGGGTGGCCTCGGCAGTGTCCCATCGCTCTCCAGTGGTGAGAAAGAAGCTCAGTGACTCCTGGTCGTTATACTGCATCTGGACCCAGGGGTACACTTCCACCCAGACTGGTCATTAAAAAGTTTTTTTTTTTTTTTTTATGTTTTTAAATAAAAAAGGTTTGCCATTGAAGGGTATGAGCTCTTATATTTAAAGTGAGGCACGTTCTCGCAGTAAAAGTGTTAGAAAAAGCAATAGGCCCCAGCTAGGATCTGATAGGCATTTCCTGTTCATCTAGCGAAAGCAAGCCCCTGATGACAGTCAGTCTTAACCTGATTTAATAGCTGGAAGGATGCCGTTGTAAAGGGCCGTTGCCCGTATCCTGCTTGAATACTCAGCGTGTACTTAAGATGTTAAAGATCCCTTAAAAATGACCCTAATTTCCGTGTAGAAATTGCTAGGTCATCTTAACATGCAGTTCAGTTCATTTGTAAAGGGTTGTCAAATGCCGTAATGAGAGAAGAGTATGTTGGAGTGGGAAAGAGGGGCCACAGAGAATTTTAAAAAGCATTTTCATGTCACATTAGACGGGAACTCTTGACCTTTCCTGTAAAATAACAGTAATAACAATAATGAGGGTGGTAATTTGCAGTACTTATTTTGTGATTCCTTCTGCCAAGTGGTTATGGTGATGGGTGTGTCCAGGAGGCAAGGTGACAGCTTAAACAGGAGTTGAGAATCCTTGCCAACTGAAACCTCAAGCCTGGGTGGGTGCGGGGAGGAGCTCACCTTGGACAGGACTAGCGTTCATGTATGTTTGATGCGTTTGTTTTCGTTTTGATGTTTCAAATTCTAAATTTGAATATGCTGAGTGAAACTGAATACACATAGGTATGTGATCCATATTCCAGATTGTAGGGTAAAGTTTAAAAACCAAGTTGCACCCCCTCCCCCTCCCCAAATCAGTTCAGATAGAACTTGACTAGATTTTCTTTGCAGTGTTTAGACACTTTCCAGGTGACTTGGCAGTAACAAGCTTTTGGTACTGTTTGCATCGTTGATGCTTTGGGGGTTTTAGGTTACTTTGTTCAATCTTCATTAAATAATAAGTTAACTTGGAAATTGTCCTCAGATGATTCCCTATTAAGATGGTAAGACTACAAGATTTTAAATTAAACAATTTATTTGAAGTGGAATAAGACTGTTCATGTCTCTTAGGTTTACATGTAGTTATTTACTTATTGAAAGAGAATTGCATCATGAGGCTTTGAAGCCAGAGTGATTGGATAAGTAAAAGATGTGGAGCCGTAGAAAATTTTGTCAATTGAGTACAAATAAACAGTCATTTCATTAAGCTGCAAGGAGTCTGTTTCTAGTAAACTCAGAAAATCAAAGAATTCACAGTGGCTGTACTAAAATATAGAAGTTCTGGTTTGAGTTAGAATGATCAAAATAGGCCTTTAATAAAGGTCCTGATTTTTAACAAAGTCATCTTATTCCAGTGGTTTCTTTTTTTACCCAAGATATTAATAGGTAGTAAGTGCTGTTCTGTCAGAACTGATGTATCTTTTACCCTACTAAAATAAATTATATTGCTTATAATATAGGTGCTTTTAACTTCTGAAATTGTAGGAAAAATTTTACATATGAAGCCTTTGTAGTGTCTAAATAGCACTCAGAGGAGGAATTGAACCAGATCTGAATGGATGATGGATAGCAGTTTGTGTTCATTTCAAGATTACAGACTCATACTTTTGTTCAGATAAGAACTTCAAAAATAATAGTCATTGCTTCTCAGTGCTTACAGATCAATCACCTGTGGTGCACCAAAATGAAGATTCTGAGTAGGACCAGAATATCCACTGCCATTGAGTTGATTCTGACTCATAGTGACCCTATAGGACAAAGTAGAACTGCCCCATAGGCTTCTGAAGGCTATAAATATTTATGGAAACAGACTGTCTCATCTTTCTCCAGTGGAGTGGCTGGTGGGTTGGAACCACTGATGGTTCGGTTAGCAGCTGAATGCTTTACCCATGGTGCCACCAGACCTAGCACTAGAATGGAACGTGGAAGTTATCTCTGGAGTGACAAGAGCAAGAGGAAGCAAATTATGTATATCAATAGTTAAAGAAATAAGGTAATAAGAACTAGTCATCTCTCTAGTGAGTAAGTTCTCATTTAACTGAGATAAACACACGTTAATGAGCTTGAGTTTTCCCAAAAGTATAATTCTTCCAGTTCTCGTAAGAAAATGACACTCTCCATAGTCAGAAATAACAACCAAATTTATTTGCCTGTAGTTGGAAAACGGACCCCGGTAGTGCAATATTAAAGTGCTCACCTGCTAACTGAAAGGTTAACTATTTGAACCCAGCAGCTCTTCTGAGAGAGAAAGATGTGGCAGTCATCCAGCGTCCATAAAGATTTATAGTCTAGGAAACCTTATGGGGCACTTCTACTCTGTTGCTATGAGTGGAGTCACTATGAGTGGGAATCGACTTGACAACAATGTGTACTTGGAAAAGGTTTACAAATTAGAGTGCTTAGGGAGTCTTGTATTCTTGCTAATTTTAGTGGTCTTTTAGTCCAAATGATGGTGGTAAAGTTTCTTTTAAAACCTTGCATTCTGGATCAACAGTAAATACACAGAACTTTTCTAATTTTTAAAATTGCTATTATGGCAGTTCTTGATTTGCATCCTGTTTTTAAGCTTTAAAACTTCAGGAGCAAAATTGATGAGCGCTTTTAGGCTGTATGAGTAACTTAGAGTCTCCTGTGTGCTTTAGTCCATCCCTTGAAGCTTATTTGTATTTGTTACGAGAGTGAGTTTGCCTGGAGTTACGGAGATAGGATGAGTTGAAGCTCATGATGATCACGCTTTGACTCTGAGCAAAATCCTATACTTTAAAAGCTTGCCTTTAATAGTTAACAGATAATATAGGTAGCCTAACAAATATTTTTTTTTAGTCTTAAACTGGGTTCACATGCTGTCTCTGTCCTTGGGTTGCACTTGTGGTTTTAGTGTGTGCAAATAAGCTTTCTCAGCTTAAATAAAGTTAACATGGTAGGTTTGCTGTAAAAGTAATCTGGGACTTAATAATGCCATGCATGTCTTGTTTCTGTGGGAAAACTGAGCTAATCAGGTTGATTTTTAACATTCTTTGATTGTTATTTTATATAAAATAATAGCTACCATTGTACTTTTTGGGGTGCCCTTTGCATAGATTCTCAGTCTGCACAGTAACCCTGCAAGGTAGGTCTTTATCCTGTGTTACAGATGAAGTTGACAGAGAGGTTGAGTAACATGTCCAAGGTCACACAGCTACTAAAGTGGCAGAGCTGGGATACAAGCCCAACTATGACTCAAAAGACTTTTTTCTCACACTATGCCCGACTATGACTCAAAAGTGTACTTTTTCCCTGCTTTATGCTATGCTTCTCTTCACTCAGAAATGATGAAACAACTGCACAATAGAAGCACTGTAGAAGTAAATCCTTTATCCAGTAAAAACTGGTTGCTTGTGAGTTGACTTCAACTCATAGTGAGCCTCATGTGTCATAGAACTGTGCTCCTTAGGATTTTCAGTGGCTGGTTTTTTGAAAGTAGATTGCCAGGCCTTTTCCCCCATGGTGCCTCTGGGTGGACTTGAACCTCTAACTTTTCTTTCAGCAGCCTAGCTTGCACATCCAAGAACTCGAAGTCCTTTATTTCCCCCTGTAACAAAGTAAACAACTCAGTGGATTTATTGGGTTTAACATTCTTTTCCCCATAGGAAAAACTATCTCTGGACACCTTTCTACCAAACACTTGGTGGGACATGGGGGTAAAAGTAGATTTTTAAAATTATTACTATTTTATATAGTTCTGCATTTAAACTTAATTATTGGTTCTTTACTTTAAGTTACCAGGCCTTTGTTTTTGTTCTACTAGAAATAAATTGCATTGGGGTCAAGTCACAATTGTGCAGGGAAATATTACCTTCTGTTTTCTGGGTTTCTTCTCAGATTTTCTCACCCCCCCCCCCCCAAGAAAATGTAGTGCTATTACACATTAAGTTGTTACCCTTGGGAGCTCTGGTAGCATAATGCCTAAGGTACTTGACTGCTAACCAGAAGGATGGCAGTTTAAACCCACCAGCCACTCCTCGGAAGGAAGATGGGGCAATCTACTTCCATAGTGATACTGCCTTGGAAACCCAAGGAGGGGTCGCTATGAGTCGGGTCCAACTTGACAGCACATAACAACAACAACTTCACAGAAGTGTGTTTATTTGAAAGGAATAAAAGTAGGCAGTATTTTTCTTTTGCCTACAAATAATTAATCATAGTACACTTGACTCCATGTGGATAAGAGATTTTTCGATAGGAAGCTATTTCTTGGCAGCCGCCTCCCCCATGGTAACCACATAAGCAGTTGCTTCAAGGGTGGTGTGCATGCATACCAATAAGGAGTGAAATGTCCAGAGGTGAAGGCCACAAGAAGGACAAAGACTTGATGTTTTGCAAACATCTTCATTTATTGTGGTGATCTGAATTTAAAGTTTATAGGGCATTGGGGATGTCTGACATCTCAGTACTTAATCCTAGCTTTACTGGTTACTAACTTTGTATCTCCTTCCACTACTGAAATTTAACCTGAGCCTCTCTTTCCCCATCTGTAAAGTTGGGGATGATAATGCCATTATAGGGTTATTGTGAAGATTGAATAAGAACAACACATATGGTTGGCTTTAGCAAATACCTACAAATACGTTTTTAAGAGAACTAAGTAGCTCTTCTCCATGTACTACAAGCATCACAAACCTTAGGCTTATTCTGGGTTTTCAAAAATTAAGAGGAAAATGGAAAATGGATGACTGGATTGAACAGCTTAGATTTTAGCTAAAGTCAAAAAGATGTGTTTAACCATTTATGTGATTTTTGTCACCTTTAATTTTGGTTCAGTTGAAATTACTGCAAATAATGGCTTACATCTGCCATGGGGGGAGTGATCTTAAATATCTTTACTTGAAGAAGGAACCAGTGTTACTATTGGATTATTTCCTTGCCTTAAATCAGAAGACTAATAACTCCAGTTACACTTTTTAGTATGCCAAATTTGCTTATTATCAATTGTTTATAAAACATAAGGGTTCTGAAGTATTTGCATATCTCAAACTTCAAGTCATGACTGTTCAGCTTTGAAGATAAAATAGGTGTATGCATATTTTGCCCAACCATGTTTGTTGTTATTAAGAATTTTTAAACTAAATGAAGCGTACGATACACAGTGACTCTTGAAAGGTTATAAAAATTTTTTCTGCAACTGCTAATCTACATACTCCTTCACTTACTTACCTCTTTGATCTCTTTGTAGGCTGACCAACTGACTGAAGAGCAGATTGCAGGTGGGTGAAATACTTTGCTCTAGGCTATACCATTGGATTTTATTCTAAATGAAGTAGCCAGCCTCAAAATAACATACTTGTATGAAATGATTAACTTTGATCTATTTATAGATGATAACAAAATGTGCGTAATCTAGTGATTGAACCTGGTTTGGCAAGTGAAAAGGTAAACTTGACTCTGCAAGATGTGTGTGGTAACTGTAATTAAAGATGGATGTTTTAGGCTTTGTAGATACACTTTAGAACCTAGTGGTGGTGGCCTTTGTTTTCTTTTTAAGCCTCTCTTACTATAAAATATGGATTCTGGGTAAGTTAGCACTGCAACTCTCAATCAGTCTCAAGAAAAGAGAGCCAAGGAATAACTAAGGTAACTTGAAATGTAGAATGAGAAAGTGAGTATTGACATTGAATTTACCAGTTTAAATTAACTAATATTTTAGCCTTAGAATTATCTGTCTTGTCAATCAGAAAATAACCATTTCTCTATTGAAAGCTTAGATTTAAAAGTTAATATACTATTTTGCAGAATGCAAATTTGAATTTGTCTTTTTCAAAAAGCAGTATCAGCTATTGAAATGAAGCATCTTAATTTTGTCTCCTTTGGTTTGCTATGGATATTGTGAAATAGCTAAAACCTGATGTCATGCTATCCTTATACTATTACCAGTAAATAGTAATTTTTATTTTATTCTAATAGTTTCAAGTGACTGATTTACATCAAAATGTCATTTTTTTTTTTCTTTAATTGTGGTGTTCAAAACTTTTTGAACTCTTTTTCTTTGTTTTCATTAGAGAGTTTTATTAGCACAAGCGTCAAAAATTGCCACAGTTCTTCTGGCAGGCCAAGGAGGAGTTTTGTTAAGTGCTGAAAAGCACTCAAGCATTTTTTTTAATGTTGGAGAAAACTGAGAAGACCAGTTGGAACACAGAATATGTATAGCCTATTTAAAGCAAACCACCTCCCCTCACCATCACTCCCACCCCCAAAAAATAAATACAAGGTTTGGAAGAGCCAGAAATCACTGGTGTCCTCGGATATTGAAGATAAATAATATTTGATAAGACTTTATAAAGTACAAAGCTCTTGGTATTAAGGGCTTTAATTAAGCAGTTTTCATTTTCACATCTGATGGTGTGAAATTGACTTAAACCTGAGATTTGCTTTTTAGAGTTGGTAAATTACACATCATAAGGTATGTTGAAGCTATCAAGCAGAGCATTGTGAAGTGACTTCTTGTTTATATGCTGTTCAATCAGTGAAATGTAAAATTTTCTGAAATCGTTTTTTATGTAATATCTTTCCCCTGAGGAACTGATTCAGTCTGTCTTAGTATTTCTAGTCTTAAAGTCTGACCTTGTATACTATACCTGCCTTCCATTCTCAATTTATTTCTTGATATTCCCAGTCAGGCAGTTGTCTTTACTATGCATAGCATATTCGTTTTAGGGTAGAAAATGTATTTTTCAAGGCGCCCATCACAAAGTTAATACTCATAGTTATCACCCCCTAAACACTCGATAGCACATAACAACAACAACAAACACATACAACTCTTTGAAAATAATTTGTTAAATATAAGGATTAATCTTCAAAGACTGATGACATTTTTATGAGGAATACTTAATTCATGGGAATATTACAAGATAAATTTCATCTTTTCATTGACTTTCATCATAAAGTTAAGTTTCCTATGAGAAAAAAGTTTCCTGTGGGAGAAAAATCTGTTCCAAGATCTCTCCCTATCTTGCCTTTTCCTAGACTTAGGGGATTCTTGAAAGCTGCTCTTATAGACCCCAGGTGTTCATGAAGCTTTAGACATAAATTGTGGGGATGGGGGGAGGAGCCAAAGTTTCTTTGCTACTAAAATATAATCCCTGTGAGATCAGAGACTTCTTTTGTTCCTTCCTATATCCCTGGTACCTCTACATAGTAAGCACTGAATAAATATTTTTTGAATGAATACATTTCATTTTCAAAGAGATACGTGATATAAAAATGTTCTGGAACCCTTCCTCTCCTAAAAATCCATCTATCTACCTTCTCAAATCCCTTCCTTACTGATTTGGTATATTACAGTGTCTAACTTTGAGGTGAAGGCAATTTTTTTCCTTCAGTTAGCCTGGTTAATTGTCATTGCTGGTGATCAGTACCATTTTGGAATCTAAAACTTTTTGGCCAGATAGTAAAGCAATTTGTAAATACACTGCAATGTTGATATTCTAAGGCACTTTTAAAAGTTTTTCTCTTAATATGATACTACAGATTTGTTTAAAAATTCTACAAACAGCAAATGACTTAGTCTAGGGAGAAAGCATGCTTGTGAAGTTACTGTTATCTCTAATGTGGTGTTTATACTACCTGTTTTTAAAGAACACTGAACAGTATGACATCACTAACAAATTAATTTTATTGGATCTTGTAATGATGTCATTAGCTAACGTTTTTGACATTTGGAGGCCTGATAGGAAAAGTGTACAAGAACTTCTCTTTTCTTTTTAGAAATCTGTGCCTAAACTTTTGTTAAATTTTCAAGACCCATAATAGGGATGAAACTTGTTTGGTGAAAAATACTAGCCTTACTTAGTTTATAGCAGGAATTAACGTAGTGCCAACAAAGGTCTGATATGTGACAATTTAGGACTTAATTTTAGAATTTTCTAAATAAATAGAAGTTCATAAAACAGGTATTTGATTTTGGTACTGGGATCTAATAACAAATAAATCTTGGGTAATAGTATGATTTTTATGGAAGTTTTAGGCACAGCTAGAATGGATCTTAGGAGTTCTCTTATTCCTATCATTTATTTTCCTGTTATGTTCAGTGCTTGTTCTCTTTATTGTGGCCTTTGGCTTTGATTCTTGAGTTCATATTTCAAATTGTTCCTGGAATTACTCTGTTTAGAATTACATGCTTCTATATAGCTCTGGTGGCATAGTGCCTAAGGCATTTGACGGCTAACCAGAAGGCTGGCGGTTCAAACCCACCAGCCACTCCTCAGAAAGAAGGTTGGGCAAGCTACTTCTGTAGTGATACTGCCTCAGAAATCCAAGGAGGAGGAGTTATTATGAGTCAGATACGACTCAATGGCAGTGAGTTTGGTTTTTTGTGTTTTTTTTAAAGTATACCAAAATGATTCTGAAGTACAGGTAGAGTGTAAAGGCAGGTGAATTTAAATTGTACTTTTGGGTTTATTCTTACATTCCAAAGGGAGGGAACAGGTATTTTTGGCTCTTTAGTATAAAAATACAAAATTTGGAATGAACCTTGACATTTAAAATAAATATTTTATTTTGTTCTTTTCTTGCACCCATAAATAGTGATAGCATAAGTATAGTTTGTCTTTTGCTTTTCACTTACTCCATTAAACATTTTAAGGGTTGTAATATTTTAAAACTTTTTGAAATTTAGAACACACATAGAACTTTTGTGTCTTCCTGAATTTGGCTTTAAATTAAATCATATAATAGCAACCAGTTAAACATTAGGAATCTTTGCAAATAATGATGGTGTTAGGTGTCTTGTGGCTAAATTCTATAGCACGAATGTAATGTGAGCAAATACACTATAAATACTTTGTTGCCTTGTAGTCTAAATTATTAGGTGATAGATGGTGTGTGTTCAAACACTAATTGTTTATATATTTCTAGAAAATAGTTATATATCCTGTTTAAAAAAAAAAAACAAATAATCCTGAGCACTTGGAAATATCTTCATCAAATTCTGTTTTTCGTAGGTGACAACTTCTGCCATATTTTTGCATTAGTTTGATCTAAGTTAGAAATTATATACTATTTTCATAATATCAATTATTAGTTTGGTACTAAGCTTCTGTTTGATGAACAAGTGAGTTCCTATGGAACCAAGTAGTTTTTAAATGGAACAAAATGTTACTTACTGTTGACTACAGTATACTACAACTAGTCAACAATACCTGGTCTGAAGCTAAGCAATTAAGAGATTTGAAGCAGATTACCAAAAAGGACACAGGTGTGGGTAATTTCAAAGTGAGAACCCAGTTAGGAAATTATTGTAAAAAATAATCCAGCCAAGAAATATTCAGGCCTTGAACCAAAATAATGGTTGTAGAGATAGGGGGCAAAAATCAGGTAGTATTTTAAATGGTAGAATTCATTAGGACATGATGATAGGTTGTTTAGGAGGGAATAGTTAGGGTGGCTCTTTGGCTTTTGCTTGGTTCCATAGGGTTTGTTGCTGAAGAATATAGAAATTCATTTTCAGATAATCTTGCTTGGGGTCAGCCAGGGGGAGATAATCCTGTAGGCAATCAGAAATAAAGGTAGTATGTTAACAAGAGCGATGAATAGATTAAAGATATGAAATCTTCATTGTAAATAGGCATAGATGAAATGGCCAAGTAGAGAAGAGGGTAAGAAATTTGGCTATATCTGCATGTAAGATACAGGAGTAAGAGCCTTTCATGATATAAAGTAGGAGAAAAACCAAAGTACTACCAAGAGAAGTTTTTGAGAGTTGTTCAGTGCAGTTTTGGAAGCTATAAGAAAATGAGTTCATCTTTTTCCTAACAGTTACTGAGTACTTGTTTGTTAGATATAGCTCTAAGTGCTTTACACATACTAAATTTTTTTTGTGTGATTTGGATGAAATTTTACAGCTCAAATTCATCTTCAGTGCAGCAGTTCACATACAACTTTGTGTCATGACATTGACTGCCATCTACCACAGTGTAACACCTCTCTTCCTGCTTCCTCTCTATAGCTACCTCTTCCCTTTGTCCTTTGCTCCTATGTACTCCTGCCCCCACCCCAGCTGTCTCTTTGTGCATACACTGCCCTTCTATTCTCCCATGATTGATCCCTCCAAGGAGTATTATCTATTTATGTTCAGCTCATATGCCTGTCTTTTGTTTGGCTGGTAGCTACAGGAGTGAGTTCTTTAATTAAATTCTTAAGCTTGGGAAGTATAGGTACTATTTTCTCCATTTAACAAATGAAGAAGCTAGAACTTTTTAACTCAGGTAGTCAAGTTCCAAAGTTTGCACTTTTTAATTTTTAGGCCATAAAACCTATATACTGAAAGTATATTGAAACATACTTGATAGATTGAGCAACTGTAGATGATCATTGGTGAACTTAGCATTTTCAGCTGCTTATGGGTTTGATCTGGAATTACAGTAGGTTGATAGAAAAGGGGAGAAATACAGTGGTGCTTTTTGAAGTTTTGGAGGGATACGGCACAACCACTTAAAATATGACTAGGATTTGAATTTAGTTTTCGCCTAAGAGACATAAAATAATATTTACATTATTATTTTGTGTATTACAGTACAAAGAAAAGATTATAGATGGAAGGTATATATGAATTGAGACAGGGAATAAATAGCCTTGGACTATAAGAGAAGGTATGCCATTTCTTAAACATGTCTCAGGTATACACATTCAATTGTACAGGTATGTTTTGTTTTGCTTTTTAAAAAACCCACTGCTAGTGAGTTGATTACATCTACCCTATAGGACAAGGTAGAACTGACCCATAGGGTTTCCAAGGCTGTACATCTTTATGGAAGCATACTGCCTTATCTTTTCCCACGGAGTGGCTGGTGGGTTGGAACCACTAACATTTTGGTTAGCACTTGCATCCCTTAAACGTTGTACCATCAGAGCTCCATAGATATGTTAGAGAAGCTTAATGGCCTTGTGAACTTTGGAACTGTGCTTTTGTGTTTGTTTGCTGATAGGATCTGGAAGGTACTAATTTTGTTACTGACTCCTCGTTGTTGTTGTTGTTGTTGTGTGCCATGGAGTCAGACCTGACTAATAGCGACCCCTCCTTGGGTTGCCAAGGCAGTGTCACTATGGAAGTAGAAGTGCCTTAAGCGCTATGCTACCAGAGCTCCCGATAATGCATTAGTATGTGCTTAACACTTAGAAATTGAACCTCTGCTTTGGTTTCTCTATCCGTAAAATAAATGGTGAAGCTAGATAGTCTAAACTCCAGAATTCTCACTGTTAATCAGGATGCCTTTTCTGCTGCTGGTTTGTGGTTTTGATTGCATTGTAGCAACGATTCATGTCTTTTATCCATATTAAAACCTAGTGGTGAATCAGAAGCAACATAATTTCACAAGAAGATCTTAAAGCTCTTAAGCAGTAATACATTATTTCACTCTTTTACAGGCATGGAGTTTTATATTCTAAATAAATTTCTAAATTATCTTTTTTCTCAATGATAAAGCACTTAATAAAACATTATTCATGTCTTGATCTAGCCCAGTGTTAACGTTAAAGATTATTTGGTGAGAGTCCCTTCTCCAACCTTCTAAAAAACCGAAAACTAGCATACTGTTCTGTTTAAAGTTTTTTGTTTTGAATTTAGTAAGCAATTGATTTAGAATATAATTTTTAACCTTTGAGGGTAACTTTAAACACAGTTCAAATAATAGTATAGTTAAACTGTACAAGTGTATTTGGTACCAGTACTCTTTCTATTATGAGTTAGAGTGGTAGATTAGGTCTGTAATTTTGAATTATGTTTCACTGAGCAGATTTCATGGAAAATAAGAGAACCCAATCATTTGGGGCTTTAGTTTTATCAATCCAGTATAGTTTCACTTTATATCTGATCTAGATAATGGAGTTGCCTATGAAATTTTAGATGAAAACCTCCCTTCTAGATCAGTGTGAGCACAAACTGCCACAATTGGCAAACGATTTATCACAGGTTTTCCAGCCTAATCCTTCAGAAATCAAAATCCTATTTCAGGTGCTATCTCCATATATGTCTTTGCTTTAAGAGTTAATACATTTCACTTAGGAGGTTATTTTTTATTGTTAAACTATAAATTTGGATTGTGGCCTTTCCCCCCCACCCCCCTTCAAACAGAATTCAAAGAAGCTTTTTCACTATTTGACAAGGATGGTGATGGAACTATAACAACAAAGGAATTGGGAACTGTAATGAGGTCTCTTGGGCAGAATCCCACAGAAGCAGAATTACAGGACATGATTAATGAAGTAGATGCTGATGGTAAGTTTTTTTAATCTGAGGGAGGAGGCTGTTGAAGAAGTGGCATTTAAATTCTTCTTTAATGTTTCAACTGAACTATTTCAGGTAATGGCACAATTGACTTCCCAGAGTTTCTGACAATGATGGCAAGAAAAATGAAAGACACAGACAGTGAAGAAGAAATTAGAGAAGCATTCCGTGTGTTTGATAAGGTAGGTATTCAAGGACTGGATTTGTTAAATTTTAATTTAAAGATGAAATAATGTTATCAGGGCCCCCTTATCCTTTGAAGTCTTATTTTTCTGATAACTTAACCATATTTTCCAAAAAAAGCTTTTCAAAAATTCAGTATAAATTTAGATATTCTAATAAGTACTGGTGTTAATCTTGTGGCAAAGCAGGCATCACTTGACTTTAATTAAATATTTAAAGTATATAAACTTCTAGGACATTTTGCATGGCTGTCAGTGACATTTAATTTATATGTCAACTATTTGTAGATTCTGTTTAATTTGTATGTATTCCTAAATTACATTTTCTCCCTAATGTGAAGTCTACTGTTAAACTCTTTCCAATTGTAATTTTATTGAAGCACCTTACTGATCTTTTGTCCTAGGATGGCAATGGCTATATTAGTGCAGCAGAACTTCGTCATGTGATGACAAACCTTGGAGAGAAGTTAACAGATGAAGAGGTTGATGAAATGATCAGGGAAGCAGATATTGATGGTGATGGTCAAGTAAACTATGAAGGTAATTTTTACAGTTACCACTTCATTCTGTGCTGTGATTTTTCAGTTCAGAGATACTTGTGGGTATCTGATGGGTTAAAATTGACTTTCCCTTCCTCAAAATGAAGCTATTAAAACAGTTTCTCATATTTACTAAGCTTTGCTATTCAGGATGTTATCTGCAGACCAGATGACCTCACTGTCATCACCTGAGAACTTTTTGGAACTGTTTCCTGTCAGGTCCTACCCTTACACCTAGAACTTGTATTTTAACAAGATTCTGAGGGGATTCATGTGCACATTAAAGTTTGAGAAGTATAGTACTCTAAATTATGCAAAAACAAATTTGTTAGTTTAATATAAAGATTATAAAACAATTAGGAAAACTTCATGCTTATTTAGTATCCCTGAAATAAATTTAAGGTGACTTTCATCTCCCTTTGAATTCTTATTTCCTCTAATTGGCTTTAGTTTGAGACTGTTTATGTATGTTCTAAAAGTATTGTTTGTTGCTGTAAACATAACAGTGGTCAGAGCATGGATATAAGACATTTGGAAATTGAAAGGATTTCAAATGAAACTTTCCCTATTTTTCATGATATAACTACTAATTCAGAAGACAGCCTAAAAGTTTAATGTTTTAAAAATTAAAGCTAATCTGTCAGCACTGAAGTTGCAATATTGACTTACCACCCAGCAGACTTAAAATTCAAGATTAAGAGCCAAAAATCCTTCATTTGTAACACCTTATCTAAAGCATTAATTTAGTTTATGTATTCATAATCATAAATCTAAGATTTATGAAGTTGCATCTTTAGGTATAAAGTAGTAATTCTGAGAGAAGAATAAAAGAGTAATTGTTATTCTGAAGAAACAGAAATGCAGAGCATTCAGCAATTGAGTCAGTGTGGTTGGTTTTATCAGTCTTGTATCACCATTGACTTGACTTTTCATGTTTCTTTTTCAGAGTTTGTACAAATGATGACAGCAAAGTGAAGACATTGTACAGAATGTGTTAAATTTCTTGTACAAAATTGTTTATTTGCCTTTTCTTTGTTTGTAACTTATCTGTAAAAGGTTTCCCCCTTACTGTCAAAAGAATATGCATGTATGGTAATTAGGACTTCATTCCTCCATGTTTTCTTCCCTTATCTTACTGTCATTGTCCTGAAACCTTATTTTAGAAAATTGATCAAGTAACATGTTGCATGTGGCTTACTCTGGATATATCTAAGCCCTTCTGCACATCTAAACTTAGATGGAGTTGGTCAAATGAGGGAACATCTGGGTTATGCCTTTTTTTTTTTTTTAAATAGTTTTCTTTAGGAACTGTCAGCATGTTGTTGTTGAAGTGTGGAGTTGTAACTCTGCGTGGACTATGGACAGTCAACAATATGTACTTAAAGTTGCACTATTGCAAAACGGGTGTATTATCCAGGTACTCGTACACTATTTTTTTGTACTGCTGGTCCTGTACCAGAAACATTTTCTTTTACTGTTACTTGCTTTTTAAACTTTGTTTAGCCACTTAAAGAAAATCTGCTTATGGCACAATTTGCCTCAAATCCATTCCAAGTTGTATATTTGTTTTCCAATAAAAAAATTACAATTTACCCAACTGATGCTCTGAATCTGAGTTATTAATACTGTTGAGGCCTAATAATTTTAAGAATAAAACGTGGAGTTGGTTTCTACTTGGTATAATCGAGTAGATAAGTATTTTTTTGGATTGTGTTTTGTTTTTAAATTAGTATATTTGCTTCACTGTTTGACAGATTAAAAAACCTGTTGTGGATGCTCCCAGCATGGGAACTGGCATTATGTTACTTATTTCGTATTTCTTTTCAGTATGTTTTGTCAGCTTTGGAATCCATTTTTCCGTATTGACTTGAGAAGCACAATAGTTTTTTAAATGTTTGAGTATAGCAGCAATCACCCAAATCTAGTTAGGGGAGGGTTATTATTTCTGTTTTTTAATCTTTCACTCATTTTGCTTTTTAATTCTTCTACCAAAAGACAAAGGAGAATTTTCAGTTGTGCCTGCTTATCTATGAGATAGATAGATATATAGATAGATTTTTTTTTTTTTTTTACAAAATAGATACTTTGGGGTATCTTTGGCAGTGACTAAACTTTTTTTCATTTTACTTGGATGCACAATCATTGCTCTTGGAAGCAGCAGTCAAGAAATCAAATGGCATTGCATTGGACAGTTCTACTGCAAGAGACCTGTTCAGAATGTTAAAAAAGCAAAGAAGTCACTTTAAGGATTAAGGTGCACCTGACCCCAGCCATGGTATTTACAGTTGCCTCATACACGTGTGAAAGCTGGACAGTGAATAAGGAAGACCAAACAAGAATTGATCCATTGGCAATTGATACATTGAATATAGAACATGGACTGCCAGAAGAACAAACAAATCTGTCTTGGAAGAAGTATAACCAGAATGTTCCTTAGAAAGAAGGATGATGAGACTGCTGTCACATACTTTGGACCATGTTATCAGGGTAGACCAGTTCCTGGAATAGGATATCATCATACTAGGTATAGAGAGCAAAAAAAAGAGGAAGACCCTCAATGAGATGGATTGACAGAGTGGTTGCAGCAGTCAGTCAAACACAGTAGCAATTATGAGAATGGCACGGGACCAGGCACCGTTCACGTTGTACATAGTGTCACTATGATTTGGAACCAACTTGACTGCACTAAACAACCCACCCCTGTTTTAGGTTTTGCTTGGCTTCTACCATTGCTTTCTCTATAACTAAAGCTATTCAAAAGGTGGTTATCATGGTTTCTTTTTTGTTTTTTTTAACTACCTTTTAAATACTTAATGATAGATTCTATACCAAAGCAGAGCCAAGATTAAAACATTGGGTGTAATTATTACTTGATTTTTATAGCCATGAGGCTTTTAATTTCCCAGGAGGCTATTCTTTATTTGGCCCATGTTTGACTATTTTAATACGATTCTTCACCAGAAAACAGAAAACTGGATAATTAGTGAAGGACAATAGAGAGAAATATGTTTTAGATAGGGCAAGGAAAATTACAGGCATTGATAAGCCTAAAGAGAGATGTTACAACATATACTAGGCATTGATAATCCTAAGAGAGGTGTTAAATCACGTATAGGCAGAAGATCAATTAAATACGATTTTAGATGTGTACTCTGTTGAAGCCCTTTCATAAGATATGTTAAGAGTTTTGTCAAAGGGAAGGTTCAAAGTGATAATTGGGAGAGGATTTGCATTCCTGGCTGTTGAGGTGTTTCTCGAGGGTGTTAAAGTAAGCATTGGTTTATTGTAGCAGTGTGTGAGTTTAAAAGAGGTCCGTCTTATCCAAGGCTTAATTATAACTGTAAAAGGGTATAATTTACCCTGTCAGGGCTTTTACAAAAATTCAGTGAAATAATGCAGGCAAAACGGCATCGTCTTTGGCATTTGTAGTAAGTTACTGTCACTGTGCTGTTGAACCAGCTGTGACCCTGTAAAATGAGAGGCAGTTAACTCATTTTTTCAGTAGTAAAGTAGGAAATTTATGGAAAACCAAAAGGTATAGATAGCAAGATGGAAGAGTGGCAACATCTTTGGGCAATTTTGTCATGTTGATTGGTGATTTTATATTGTAATAACCAAAAATGTCACCAGTTAGATATTAAAAACAGTATTTTATTAAGGAGAAGTATTGTTTACCCGGGAGCTCTGGTGGCATAGTGCCTAAGGCATTTCACTGCTAACCAGAGGCTGGCAGTTCAAACCCACCAGCCACTCCTTGGAAGGAAGATGGAGCAATCTATATCATAGTGATAATGCCTCGGAAACCCAAGGAAGGGTCACTATGAGTCGGATCCCACTCGGTGGCAGTTTGGCTTTTTTTTTTTTTTTTCCAATTGTTTACCTAAATTCTTTTACAGGTAAGTCCTTGAAATCATTGACCTATGCTGTTGCTATTTTTGAGATACTTAAACTGTTTTTTCATCTAGATGTTCCCTTCTATTTCATACCTTGTATAGGTTTCTGGACTTCTCTGTACCTATCATTCTTTCAGTCTCTAGGGTACCAATCCCTAGTTTGCTGAGCCACTTTTAAAGGCTCAGCAAAATAAGGAAATGAAGTAGAATGATGGACTTAATTAATCTATTATATTTGTGAGGACTCTGATTTTACCTGCCTCCAGCCCTTCAAATTTCAGTTCTTGATTTCAAGCTTTGGTGGTGTAGCACCTAAGGCATTTGCTAACCAGAAGGCTGGTGGTTCAAACCCACCAGTGATGACTTGGAAGGTTGGGCAGTCTACTTCCATAGAGATACCACCTTGGAAATCCAAGGAGGGGTCGTTATGAGTTGGAAATGACTCAAAGGCAGTGAGTTTGGTTTGGTTTATTTTGGATTTCAAACTTGTCCTTTTTTATTTATTTAGGAACATTTTTTTGTAGTTTGAATGAAAATTCCCCACTCAACAATTATGAACATTTTGTTTCATGACATTAGCTACATTCCTTTCAGTGTAACAACATTCTTCCCACTTCATGAGTTTCCTGTTTCCGTTCACCTGTCTTTTCTGCCCCTTCCTGTCTCCTGAATTTTGTTTTTGGGCAAACACTGCCCTACTGGTCTTGTATGGTTGATTGTTATGAGGAATATGTTCCTCATGGGTGTTAATTATTCACTTCATAGGCCTGACTATTTGGTTGAAAGATGATCCTACGGGCCATAGTCTCGTGGATTCCACCAGTCTTAACCAGACTAGTAAGTATGATCTTTTTAAGATATTTGTATTTTCTTCTACATTTTTCTTTTGTTGTGATTCTGATCAGGGTAGTCAGTAGTGGTAGCCAGGTACCATCTACTGTGGTCTCAGGCTAATGTAGACTGTGGTTTTTGTGGCTCATGAATCCTTTGTTTCCTTGAGTCTTTCATTTTCTTCACTTTGTTTCCTCTAGACAGATGAAAACAATAGTTACTTCTCAGCTGCTCAAGCTTTTAAGGCCACTTGCTTTGGGATGTAAAATACTCTATGTACTATGGTATACCAGTTGACTTAGATGTCCCCCAACACTATGACCCTAAGCACTAAAGCCTAGTTACTCAGTCCTTCAAAGTGTTTGGTTATGGCTAAGAAGTTAACATAACTTTGCCTTCTGTATGCTCTGCTATGTTCCTGGATATATTTGTAGCACATACAAATACATATATGGAATATGTGAAATAACCTCTGCCAAACATTATATATGTTTGTGGGTGTATTCCCATATGCCATTCCACACCTGTTGGGCTTACATATCTATGTATGTACTTGTAAATTATTGGTTACTGCAAGATCATGCATGTAATAGTATTTACCATTGTTGCCTTTTACTCTTGCATACCTCCCATTGTCTTCCTTTGCCTTGGTAGTCATCTTGTGTTGGCTTCTCCTTTACTGTGTATTGCCTTTCCCTTCACCTAAGTTAATACATGTCTCCTATTTATTTAGTGATTTTCCTTCCCGTCCCTGGGTAACCATCAAAGAATGTTTCTTTTTGTGCATAAACTTTTTTGACTTTTTGTAATAGTGATCTCATATACTATTTCTCCTTCAGCATACTGTTGTCCAGGTTCATCCATGTTGTGAGATGTTTCATGGATTCGTTGTCATTTATGTAGTTTTCTGTTTCATGTATGTACCATAGTTTGTTTATCCATTTATCTTTTTTTTTAGGATTTGGGTGAAGATTTACAGAGTAAATTCACTTTTCATACAGCAGTTCACATATACTTTGTCTCATGTCATTGACCAAA